TTCGTAGAGAGCAGTTGTCTTGGCCGCAGGGCGCCAGGTGCCCACGGGTGGGAGTGCTGCGGGCCTCCTGGCCCAGGCGTAACGTCGGCACCTCCCCTCCCCCAGCCACCCGCCGCCCCGACCAGTCGGAATTATACTGAGATCCGGGAGAAGCTCCGTTCGCGGCTGACCAGGCGGAAAGAGGAGCCGCCCGTGAAGGTGAAGGGGGGCGCCCTGGGCGGGGTCCCTGGGGAGCTCACCGTGGACCGCCGAGATGTGGACGAGCTGCTGGAGTTCATCAACAGCACGGGGCCCGGAGTCCCCAACAGCGCCAGGGCCGCCAAGCGGGCCCGGCACAAGCTGAAGAAGAAGGTGGGTGTGGGGGTTCGGCCCTGCCGCCTCTCCTCCCGAGGAAGCCCTCACCCCAGCCCCTCCTGGGCAAGGACAGTGCCAGCCGCCCCAGGCCCTAGTGCGGCCCTGCTCTGGGAATGTCTGAGTGAGCTTGGGAGGCATCGGGGCCAGGGAGACTGCAGGCCTGGAGGCAGCTGTGGCCTGGCCTCAGAAGCTGCTCTGAATCCCTGCGAGCCTAGGGCTTGATGCATTCAGCAGTTAGTCACCTGGGAGCAGCTTAGTCCAGCGGGGACGCTGGCCAGGAACCAGGCAGGTGTGTTAGGTCCCGAGTACCGTGAGGGAGGGCCCCCTTCTTGCCTAGAAATGGCTTCACTAGAGGTCGAGGTGTGACCTGCAGGGTAGGGAGAGAGGACAGGTGCCTTGGGGCCCTCCTGGCTGCAGGCTCCGCACATGACCCCATGGCCAGGCGTAGCCAGATGAGTCTCGAGAGCCGGGCAGGCGTGGAGGAGAGGGGCCTGCACCCTGTAGCTCTACGTGTTGGGCATGCTTGGCCGGCCCTGTAGCTGACGTTCTGGTGTGCCAGTTTGTAAGGTGGGCAGGAGGCTGAGACTCCAGGCAAGAAGTGAGGGGAGAGCTGGTGGCAGGACCCGAGCAGAAGAGACTTCTCAAGGGAATGGAAGTGACAGGCCTCAGGGGCCGCTGGCAGGACGGGGCGGTGTAGTCGGGGATGTGTTGCAGGCATTTGCCTGGTGGCCAGGCCAGCAGGATGGCCGGCCGTACCTTTCTCTGGAAACAGTGACGTCAGTGGGGCGTGTCGGCTCAGATGTCCCCTTGAGGCAGCAGAGTGGAGGGAGAGGTGGGAGCCAGCGCCAGCAGTCGCCAGCGCAGGATGTAACTGAAGCCATGGGAGCGACCTGTCCTGGGGGCTGCGACTGGAGCCCAGCGAGCTATTTCCGGCAGCTCGGCTGCCTGGTGCGCTCCGGGGACTGTGGGCCGTCCCTGTGCCTTCATTACCTCTTTGCCCGCCCCGCCCCAGCTGCGGCGCACAGGCTGCATGCAGGGGCTTGGCAGCCAGCCAGCCCACTCTAGGGTGGCCGACCAGTCCTAGTGCTCTGGAAAGCAGAAGTGAGTCTCCGTCTTTTTCCAGCCAGGACAGCCAGGACCTTTCTCCTGCAGCCTGAAGTAGTGAGTCAAGGGGTCCCACCACTGCCTCCTATCCTCACTCTCCCACCCAGCCCTGCCCAGCCAGAAGTGGCCCATGGGCTGCAGTGGTCTTTCTGGCCTCTCCCCTTAGGGCAGTGGTTCCCAGCTCGGCCCCGGAGTACACGCTTGGTGTCCCCAGGCCTGGTGTGCTGCTCACGCCCGCGTGCCCACACGCTCTTCCCCTTCACTGGGAATGCAGCCTTCCTTTCCTCCTGTTAAACTTCCCTTCGAGGCTCGACTCAGGTGCTCCCCTGGGCGCACTTGCTTGGGGACTTCTCGCGCACCCAGCACACCCCATGTGTCTGGGGCTCTGCCCACCCCAGCAGGGCTTACTGCCCCATGTGGAGGCCAGGGCGTGGAGCCCGGCGCCTTGCCTCATAGGCTTCGCAGTCACGGGGCTACAGGCAGGGACAGGCGCACGGGAGTCACAGGCCATCCTGACCGTCATCTGTACAGGGCTGCCCTGAAGTCCCTTCTCCTCCGGGTGCAGCCACAGGCTGGCTGCCACCCCCACAGCTCCCCCAGAGCTGGCCGGTGGGGGCTGCTCGGTGCCGCGCCTCCCGACCATGAGGCCCTCCTGGACTGAGCCCTGCTCCTTTTGAAGCTGTAGCCCCAGCTCTGTGCTCTCTAGCTGCTGGTGCTCCCGTCACCCCAGCAGATCCAATGTCACCTCCCCTTTCTTCCCAGGCCAGTCTGTCACTCAGTGGAATGAAGTAAGTCTTGGCGGGGGAGCAGCTTGGCCCACCATCTCCGCACTTGTCCCACACCCCGTTACCCATCCCCACTCCCCCAGGCTGCCTCTCCCTCACCTGGGAAAGTGCAGGGCTGAGCCTCTTGTGGCACCCGGCCATGTGGCCTCCCTCTCACCCCGCCCGTGTGGCCTGGCTGGGTGCCACCTGTCCACTGGCTGCCTTGTTCCTTGGCACTGCCCTCCACCACCTCAGCTGTCAGACCCGTGCTTTTCTCAGTGTTGAGGCCTTCCCCACCCCCACCTCGTATTTGTAAACAACCTCACTGCGTTTCCACGGGGACAGAGGCCATTGGGCAGGCCTTCTCACATCTCCCCCGGGTCAGGTGTGGCCTGGCTGCCTGCCACCTGTCCACTGGCTGCCTTGTTCCTTGGCACTGCCCTCCACCACCTCAGCTGTCAGACCCGTGCTTTTCTCAGTGTTGAGGCCTTCCCCACCCCCACCTCGTATTTGTAAACAACCTCACTGCGTTTCCACGGGGACAGAGGCCATTGGGCAGGCCTTCTCACATCTCCCCCGGGTCAGAGAAGAGGTGCCCTTTCTCTCTTGAGGCCCACGCAGCCCAGCCAGGCCCCCTGCTGGCAGCTACGGTTGCTCCTCTGGGCTGTCTCCTGCCAGCATTCGCTGTGCCCACCACTCTGTTCCTTGAAAACAGACTGGTCCATGACCTACAGCCAGTCGCTGTCCTCATGTCACAGCCAGGTTTCCCAAGACATGATGTCCGCATGTCCCTCCCATCAGCTCCCTGCAAGCTGGTACCCACCGCACCCCCACGGAGTCACCGGGGACCTGTGTTTGCCAAGTGCAGACCTGCCGTCCTGTCCCCATCTTGTTTGCCACTAAGTCACTTTTAACATTTTGTATTTATTCTCCTTTTCAAACATTGTTTGTGACTCCTCAGTCCTCAGCCAAGCAGGGCCAGGGCCAGGGCCAGGGCAGTGGGAACGCCATGTTCTGCTTCCTCACCTGCCCCGACCTCTCCCCAGTCTCCTTTGTGCACCCCCCTCCCTGCTGGCCCTCCCTCTCGAGGTCATCTCCCGGGGAGGAGCCACCTAGGTAGCGTCTCCTGCTGATGGGCACCTCCGACTCGGCACAACCTAAACGGGGCCGTTGGCCTTCTCCAGAGAGGCCTCGTCCTCCTTCTGCGCTGTCTAGTGACCAGCACCGCCGTCCCTCCTGTCGCCCGGACCAGAGCCCTGGGTGTCGCCCCGAGGGCGCATTGCGGTGGCAGGAGCAGCGGGCCTCGGAGCGCACCTCGGTGTGGAGCTTGGCACTGCCACATTTGCTGTATGACCTTGGGCAGACCCCTTTCCCTCTGAACCTCAACTTCTTCATCTGTAATGCGGGGGACAGCAGAAGCTAAGTCACAGACGGTCGCGGAAACGGATGGAGAGATGCGTGGGAAGGGAGGGCAGAGCCTGGCTCGTGGGGCCCTGCCGAGCAGCCGTGGTTGGTGGTTGGTGGCGTCTACTGGGTTTTCTGACTTATTCTGTGCACTCTCCCACGAGCTGTCCAAAGTCCTGCCCAGGTTCCTCTCCAGCAGCTCAGACCAGCCCCGTCATCCAATGACTGCCCTGAGCCCAGAAGCCTGCCGGCTAGACATTGCTCTCAGGACCAAACCTGACTGGCATGGCCTGCAGGCCCTCATGACCCAGCGCTGCACAACTCCCCAGCTTTGCTTTTCAGTCTCTCTTTCCTGGCCTTCCTACCACCCTGGCGTGGCCTGCAGGCCCCTCATGACCCAGCACTGCATAGCTCGCCAGCTTTTTAGTCTCTCTTTCCTGGCCTTCCTGCCACCCCTCTCCAGCCCCAGAAACCTGCTGTACCTCTGTGGGGCTTGTATTCCTTAAAGACCCCTACTTCCCTGCTACCTAGCTTCCCCTGCTTCCCAGCCTTCCCTGCTTCCCGGGCCTCCCGGCCTTCCCAGACCTCCCACTTGCTAGAAAGTACTTGTCTTACTTTTTGAGGGAGCCTGCTCACTCCTTCAGTGTAGACACTGCCTCCTCAGGGAAGCATGCCCTGGTGACCCAGTCTGGGTTGGGAGCACCTTCTCTAGGTTCTGAGAGCACCCTGTGCTTTCTGTCCATAGCACCTGTCATTGTCACTCTGAACTGAATGTCCTGTTTGCACATCCGTCTCCCCCGTAGGCGAGTCGCCAGACAGCCTGCATCCCGCACGCAGTTCCGCTCCCCGAACCTGGCTCCCACCTCTTGGCGTCTCGGTGCCAGTCAGAGCAGAAAGGCAGGAGCTTACAAAGAGCGTACCTGGGTATATTGTCCCCATTCTGCCACTTCCTGTTCATGGGACCTCGAGCCTGTGCCTGCTCTCCCAGAGTCAGCGTTCCTCGGCTGTAAATCGAGGACACAAAGCGACGAGGCAGGTTCAGTGAGGGTGACGTGCGATGGTGTGTGGAGAGAGCCAGGCTCGTGGGATGGCGCCAGCACGGGCCTCCCTGTGCTTCGTCCTGAGCTTGCTGCCAGAGTGCGCATGGCTCCACCACCCTCGGTCCACACTGGTAGTCACACATTGCCTAGTAGCAAAACTCTGTTCTGAGCATGAGCTCTTCACAGAACCCCAGTCTAACCGAGGACTCCAGTCTGTAACTGAGGACTCCGGTCTGTAACCGAGGACTCTGTTCTGTAACCTAGGACTCTGTTCTGTAACCTAGGACTCTGTTCTGTAACGGAGGACCCCGGTCTGTAACGGAGGACCCCGGTCTGTAACGGAGGACCCGGTCTGTAACTAAGGACTCCGGTCTGTAACTGAGGCCCTGGTCTGTAACTGAGGACTCTGTTCTGTAACCGAGGACCCCGGTCTGTAGCGGAGGACCCTGGTCTGTAGTGGAGGACCCTGGTCTGTAATAGTACCCTGGTCTGTAACCGAGGACCCGGTCTGTAGCAGAGGACCCCGGTCTGTAGCGTAGGACCCGGTCTGTAGCGGAGGACCGGTCTGTAACCAAGGACCCCGGTCTGTAACAAGGCCCCCATCTGTAGCAGATGACCTTGGTCTGTAACAGATGACCTCGTGTTATGACAACTGCTCAGACCTTAGCTGCCTCACACCTGTGCACGGGCGGAGGCCAGCCTTAGCACCTGTGGAGAACACCCCCCCACACCCTGTCCTCAGAACAGCCCTGCGAGAAATGTCCACATGGGGGTCTGAGGTTCAGAGAGAGTAAGTGATCTGTCCAAGGGCCACGGGCAGCTGGCTTAGCTTGTGGGGCCAGTGTTCTGGAAGATAGGCGTAGAAATGCCCACTTGCTGGGCACAGGACCAGCCTCTAGAAGTCTGTAACCTAGGACTCTGTTCTGTAACGGAGGACCCCGGTCTGTAACGGAGGACCCCGGTCTGTAACGGAGGACCCGGTCTGTAACTGAGGACTCTGGTCTGTAACTAAGGACTCCGGTCTGTAACTGAGGCCCTGGTCTGTAACTGAGGACTCTGTTCTGTAACCGAGGACCCCGGTCTGTAGCGGAGGACCCTGGTCTGTAGTGGAGGACCCTGGTCTGTAATAGTACCCTGGTCTGTAACCGAGGACCCGGTCTGTAGCAGAGGACCCCGGTCTGTAGCGTAGGACCCGGTCTGTAGCGGAGGACCGGTCTGTAACCAAGGACCCCGGTCTGTAACAAGGCCCCCATCTGTAGCAGATGACCTTGGTCTGTAACAGATGACCTCGTGTTATGACAACTGCTCAGACCTTAGCTGCCTCACACCTGTGCACGGGCGGAGGCCAGCCTTAGCACCTGTGGAGAACACCCCCCCACACCCTGTCCTCAGAACAGCCCTGCGAGAAATGTCCACATGGGGGTCTGAGGTTCAGAGAGAGTAAGTGATCTGTCCAAGGGCCACGGGCAGCTGGCTTAGCTTGTGGGGCCAGTGTTCTGGAAGATAGGCGTAGAAATGCCCACTTGCTGGGCACAGGACCAGCCTCTAGAAGTTGACACTGAGGCGGGCCAGCCCTCTTTGCTGTCCTGTTCCCTTTCCCTCTTTCTTCCCCTCATTCCTGAACTACCTGGAGATGTGTGACGTGGCAGTCACCTGGCACTGGCGCCCCCTTCATCTCCTTCCTGAGAGCGGCATCCTTCCCCCTCCCCTAGAAGGCTCGTGGGCACGCTGGCACCGAGAGGGGCGGACTCGGAGCCCTCAGACTTATATTGCGCTGCCGCAGGCCTGTCTGAGCTGACAGTGCTCAGGGTCGGCCCCCGGAGCCTCCCAGCTGTCACCTCTATAAAGGGGCGCTCTGCCGTGCCTTGCTAGTGGGCACTCGGTGTGGCCCTTCCATAGGCCGCTGTCCTGCTCAGCAGCTGTGCCCGTGGCCTCAGAGGTGCACATTCCCAGCCGCCCAGAGTGGTCTCACGGCCCCAGAATGTACCATGCTGTCCCCCACTACCTGCACAGTGGCCAAGAGTGCCTCTCCAGCAGCCCCTTCCTCACACACCCCCGTGCTCTTCATTCTAGAGTCATTGTCCCCACTGCGCAGATGAGGTTTCTGAGTCCCAGCAAGTGAGTGAACTGCTCAAGCTCACATCCCCGGGCAGGGAGGCGAGGGCCTGTGCTGGAATCCTCGCTGTCAGGCAGAGGACTGGCAGGGCAGCTGCGGCCGAGCAGGCTGTGAACCCTGCCCCCTCGCTCCCAGGACTTGGATGTGCCTGCCTGGCTGCGGCTCAGCCCCTTTCTGTGGGGGTGGGCAGGCGCTGCCTTCAGCAAGTTCGTGGCAGGGCCGGGCCAGGCTGCTGGGCCAGGCGTCACGTTGTGCTTGGCAGCTGGCAAGCCTTTGCTGAAACCACGTCTTGTGTTGGCAGGAAAGGGAGAAGGCCCAGTTGGCAGCTGAAGCACTGAAGCAGACGAGCTGCAGCGTGTCTGGGAGCCGGGAGCTGAGGCCTGCCAGGGAGAGGCTCTCGGAGTGGCCCGCCCGGGAGCTGGACCGGGTGAACAGCTTCCTGAGCAGCCGTCTCCAGGAGATCGGGAGCACGGTGGAGGACTCCATCCACGCCAGCTTCAGCGTGTGCGAGCCTAGCGTGGACAGCAGGGGCTTCTTGAAGGGGAGGGCTGCTGAGCCTGAGCCCCCGAGTTCCCCACCCTTAACCCTCAACGGCTCCTCAGAACAGCGGCCTGACATCAACCTCGACCTGTCCCCGTTGACTTTGGGCTCCCCCCAGAACCACGTGGTGCAAGCTCCGGGGGAGCCAGCCCCACCATGGGCAGAAGGGAGAGCCCCTCACCCACCATGGACCGAGGTGAGGGGCCCCCCTCCCGGCATCATCCCCGAGAATGGGCTGGTGAGGAGACTCAGCACTGTGCCCACTTTGTCCCGGGTCATCTGGGTCAAGACGCCCACTCCAGGCAGCCCGAGTGCTGAGGAGCCAAGCTCAAAGGAAGTCCCCACCTACAAGCAGGAGCCGCCCGAGCCCGTGGTCTCAGGTGGGAAGCCGCGGAAGGGCAGGAGACAGGGCAGCCAGGCCAAGAAGAGCGAGGCGAGCCCAGCCCCCCGGTCCCCTGCCAGCCTAGAGGTTTCCCTTGCCAAGGGCCAGACCCCTGGCCCCAAGCAGCCAGGCCAGCTCCCGGAGCCTCCTAAAGTGGGCACCTGTGCTGAGGCTGGAGGAGGCGGCCAGCTGGGACCGTGTTGGGCTGGCAGCCCCAAGACAGAGAAGGAGACGGGCAGCTCCTGGCGGAACTGCCTGGGCGAGGCCAAGGCGCGGCCTCCGGAGCAGGAGTCTGTGCAGCCCCCAGGCCCAGCAAGACCACAGGGCTTGCCCCAGGGCAAGGGCCGTAACCGCCGGAGCCGCAGCAAGCAGGAGAAGTCGGCCTCGTCCTTGGGTGAGTGCACCAGGAGCTGAGTGGCTGACCCCCCTCCCAGCCGCGCCACGGGGTGGAGGGCAGTCTGCGTGTGCAGTGCTGGCCCCGGAACATCCCTCCAGAGGCCTGGCTGTGGGCACTGAGCCCCTTGGCTGTGTCTTCCTAGACGACGTGTTCCTGCCCAAGGACATGGACGGGGTGGAGATGGACGAGACTGACCGCGAGGTGGAGTACTTTAAGAGGTAGGTGTGGGCTGTGTACTTCGGTCCTGCCCGCACTCACCTACCATGTTCCTCAGGCTCGGTCCCACCCGGCCTGTGGCAGAGTCCAGGGGGCCACTGGTAGGACGGAGCATCTGGGAACTGGCAGGGACCAGGAGGGGGCGTGCCATGGCTGAGACCTGCCTTGCTTCAGCTTAGTCTGCTCTGTTTACCCACTCGCACTTCCCCTGCCCTGCCTGGCCTGAGCTCTGGGACGGGGGGTCACCACAGTATGGACAGGGAGAGCTCCATGCCATTCAGGGAGCAAGGTTGCAGTGGGGCTATGGGCCGGAGTTCCAGGAGGCCTTCCCGGGAGAGCTGGGGTTAGTGAAACTGGGCAGTGAGAACGAGGGGGCCAGGTAGGACAGAAAGGAGACTGCGACAGTGTGGGTGAGGCATACATGCATTGGGGGATGGAAGCCAGCCCAGAGTGCAGTGAGAATTGAGGAGGAACCCGGTGGTTCCCAGGGCCGCTCAGTCTCCAGATGTCACCCCAAGCCGGCAAAGACCCCTGCCTGCTGGGCTCCAGCACGTGCGAGCCAGGGAGGTTGTGCAGAGCCAGCCTGGTTTCTTAGTGACCAGGACACACGGTGTCTGGAAGAGGGCTCCGTGAGAAAGGGAAGGGGCTCCTGACTGCTGCTCGTGTGTCCCCGAACCCTCCAGATTCTGTTTGGATTCTGCAAAGCAAACTCGGCAAAAGGTGGCTGTGAACTGGACCAACTTCAGCCTCAAGAAAAGCAGCCCCAGCACAGCTCATTGAGGTGAGTGCTGCCTGCACCCCTCTGCCCAGCTCTGCACTCCTCCCGCGGTGCCCTCACCAGGCCGCTGTGTTCTCTGGGACACAAGAAGTTGGACTTTGGCTTGGTGGCCTTGGCCCAGCCAGCCTCAATCTCCAAAGGTCCAAGCCCCATCTGTCCTGCAGCCACTCACCCCAAGCCTGTTCTTGTATCACTCCTCCCTGGCCCGCCCTGAGCCTCCTACAGGGCCCTCCCTACCGAGGAGTGTCCCACTGGCCCTCTCACCAGCTGCCTCCTGGGCCAGCAATAGTCCCATGGTCCTGCTTCGACCCCTGATGGACTGACAGGCTACAGGGTCAAATCCCACTGGCCTGGCCTGGCTCCCCATAGCAGGTTACCATAGCGCTTCCCTGCTGGAACTTCGGGAGGAGGACCATCCCTGAGGAACAGGGAGTAGGCAGATGGGCCATACCGAGGCCTGTGGGTCAGCCAGTCGTGGAGGAGCCAGGGTCCTCCGGGATAGGCAGGCTCCGTGACAGACTTGGCAGCCTGTGTGCCACCAGACATGGTGACACATCAGATGGGGATCTGGACAGGGACAGGGTCAGGGAGAACAGTGGGCCCCTTGTGCCAGAGGGGAGGGCAGCCAGAAGGCCGGCCTGGCTGCTGGGCTGGGGCCTAGTGGTTGCGCAGCTGGAAACCTCACCCCTGGGCTGCATCCCTCAGGTCAGCCTTTGGCTAGCCACACGTGGCTGCCCTCAAGTTGGTAGGAGGTGGGGTGGTGGGGTGAGCTCAGGGACCCTCCCCGTGGGGAACACCCCACCTGTCCGCTTCATCCTGCCATGCCAGGGCAGACCCTCAGCTCCCAAGGACAGCCGGAGAGCCGGCAGCCAGGATAGCCTTCAGGGTTAGGGGTCCCTGTGGCACCCTTGTACTGCCCCAGGGTCAGGACTGGTATTTGTGCTTTTAAATGTATTAATTTACCTTCCGTGAGTTGGAGAGAGACAGGAACCCCCAACAGCCAGCTCGGCCTTGGCCAGCCCGGGTCACAGGCACGTGTGCGCACAGCCCTGCACCTGCCCCGCGGGCCCGCCTCTGTGCCAGCACCCAGCCCAGGCCTGTCCCGAGGACTCTAGCCCTCTGCTCTGAGTGGCCTGGGCTCCCCGATCCTTTGCCAAAGGGAACACCTTCAGGGCCAGAGTGCGCCCTGACTCTCCCCACCTCCCCAGGACTCAGGAGGAGCCGGACCTGGCATTGCATCTGTCCCCCCTACTGAGAGGGGAAGGGTCACATCTCCCACAGGCCCGCCTCTCTGTCACCTGGGAGCCAAGCCAGTCACCCCCCCCCAGCTCCTCCCCTTGCCCATTCCCACTTTGCCCTCTTCCCTGAAGAGCTCACCTGGACCCTGTCGAGCCTGGTCAGGGCAGGACTGGGAGTGCCAAGAGCCTGAGAAAGCTGTCACTGGGGGCCCAGTGGGGCATGGCCTGGGAGCCAGCCCCCTCCTGCCCTCCTCCTCTCCCCCTCTGCTGCGGGAAACGCCCTGAGGTCTTAGCCCTGGTCTGGGCTCAGCTCCTAGCATGGTCTCTACCTTTGTGTGTTGGAGGTAGTCCAGGGGGTCTTTAGTGTTTTCCATCCTGGGAACAAAAACAGCTGCTGGTGGGACCCTGGGGGACTGAGGCTGCACGGCAGGGTCAGGGCACCACCGCCACTTACAGTGCACCTGCTCTGGCCCCGCAGGCCCCGCCCAGGCCGAGTTCAGGTATCCTGAGACCCCGACTGCCAGCCGAAGGTCTGCAGTTCCTCCCTCCACGTGCCCAAGCCCCCTGTTCCCAGCCGTCCCGGACCAACCAAAAGCCGAGCGGATGCTGCGCTGTGCGGGCCTCCAGACCTCAGCAGAGCGCGTCCTGGTGCTACGTGGCCTCCACACTCCAGCCGGGACCGAGCCGGGTCAGGGCCGGGCCTGATGGTACTGCCGGCCCACACTGCTCTGCATTCGGTTTTTCATTCTGTTTGTTTTTATTTTTTCCAATTCTTTACTTTTGATACTGTGAAGATCTTTCGTGCTGAAAGATAAAGCAACATTTGGACACAGACCTGGCCTGTTGGTGATTTGCTGTCTGGGTGGGAGTGACAAGGGATCTGTGTCATGTGTCACCATGGTGGCGGAGCTGTGTGCACAGCCTATGAGGTCCTGAGGCCACCGCGGTAGAGCAGCCTGCCCTTGGCTCAGCACCCTGCATGTGGCCTGCCTCAGTCCCCAACCTTCCTGAGCGAGCCTGGGCACAGCAGCTGGGTAACTCCTACCTAACCCTGCAGTAGCCTACGAGGGGCCACCGTCCATTCTCTCAGTGAGACTAAAGCAGAAGGGAGTGGCTGTGGGGCGCTGTGGGCCGGCCAGGGCTGAGCACAACCTGTGTGGCCCTGGTGCCCTGCCCCCCCCTCCTGTTGCGGAGACTGCTATGTGAGCCTGGAGCACCCGCCCACTCCGTCTCAGGCCCCCTTTGCGAGATGAGTGTACATGGACATGAGGGGTCCCCAGAAGCCCTGAAGCCTTCATAAGCTGTGCCCTGTAGCCTGGGCAGTGGAGGCTTCTCGTATTGACTTGATGTCACTAGGGGGAGTTGAGAGTACATTGAGGTTTAATAAGTTAGACGTATTTTTCCAGTGGGATGAGACTAGCATGCACCATAGTGGTTAAGGCGCTGGATCCTACGTGGCTGACTGCACAGCTCAAGACCCAGGCCCAGCAGCTTGAAAAGCATGCCAGGCACGTGTGCTGCATGCAGTACCGAGTCCCGAGAGTGGAGGAGAAGGGACTGTGGTGTGGCCGTCTCCCGAGGCTGCTCTCTCTCCCCTCCCCTTCCGCCCTCCCTCCCAGCAAGCACAGTTGCCCTATAGTAAACATTAGTTAAGAAAGGAAGGACCTGGACCGGTGATGCGGCCTGGTAGCTAGAGCAGCCAGTACCGCATGGCCAACTGCGTGTTTCAAACTCTGGCCCCTTTGGCAGGCAGATGTGCATGTGTGCCCAGGCTCCTGGCAGGACGGGGAGTGGGGCGAAGAGACTGGAGTGGCCGCACCCCGCTCACGGTGCTTTTTCCCTCTGTCTCCGGACAGCACACGTGCCCTCTAGCTTATAAACCAAAACAAATGAAAAAGAAATGGTTCTGGCTTATAAATTCAGATTTGAATATAACACAGTATTTTTTTTCTTTTTGTAAGAAATTTTTTAGAGAGCAGTTCTTACTATAGGGCACGTGCACTCACCAGAGAGACAGAAAGTGAAAAATCAGCAGCAGGGGGAAATGGCCACACTGCAATCCCTTCTCTTCCATTCTCCTTGGGATCTTGGGCATGCACGCACATGCAGCCGGTGTGAGGTTTTTTTTTTTCCCCAAAGAATTTTTTATTTAACTTTATTATTATCATTTTCCAGTTTGATCAGAGAGAGAGAAAGAGAGAAAGTGAGAAAGCAAGCCACTGATTCCAGGACTTGAACTGCAGTTGGCCATGTGGGAGCCCAGTACTTTCAACCACCATGCCACGTGCTGGCCTCAGAGAAATCACCCCCAAGGGGGATGGCCATGCCCCAATCCCCTCTCCATTCTTGGGATTTGGCTCATGCATGTACAAACACCAGGCATATTTTAAGCCTCTGGGTCCAGGAGTCACACTGCAGTTGACTAGGTGGGAGTCCAGTGACATAACAATTATGCCATCTGCTGGTCCCCTGGCATGAGTTTTTTCTTTTCTTTTTTTTTTTTAATTTATGTATTTTAATTTGGCCAGAGAGAAAGTGAGAAAGCAAGCCTCCAAGTCAGGGTGAACCATGGTCAACCATGGAGTCTAGCCCTTAACCACCGTGCCCCCCGCATCCCCACCCCCCATGAGTTAAGCTGCTCGGTCCAGGACTTGAACTTTGGTTGCCTGTGTGGAGTCCCAGGCGTGACTATTATGCCGTCTGCTGGCCCCTACGATGGCTTCCTAAGAACGACTCACGGTCCCCGGACCCCTCGACCCCACGTAGTCTCTAGGAGCACCAGCGGGCACAGGCAGCGGTTGCGCAGTCCGCAGGAGCTCAGCGTGGAGTGTGGAGGAGGACGAGAGACCATGGCACCGACCGCAGGCTCACAGTTCCTGGCTTCTGGCCCCGCCCAGTCCTGGGGCAGTGCGAACCCTCCCCAGGCGCTCAGTGGCTGTGCTCCTCTCTCAGCTCGCACCAGCCTCCAGCCCAGCCCTTAGCTGAACAGGCACAGCCATCGAAAATCGTTCTGTTGTTCAAAACCTGCAGCTGTGATCCAGAAGCCCACTGCTGCAGAGGACAGACTTCCGAGAGGCTTTCTGGGTCCTTCCTGCCTGAACCCTGCCCAGACGATCTGTCTCAAGTCAGGGCTGCACACTCAGGTCTTCTGACTTGTATGTGCTCTCGTCCCTCTCGTTAGATGACACTTCCTTTCTGCTTACCCATTCATATCCTCACTAAGAGCCCATTCTACTAAGAGAACCATTTTGTCCTGTTCTTGGGATACTTTTTTTTTGAAGAGGTTTTTGCTATAGGGCATGTGCACTCACCAAACAGACAGAGACAGAAAGCGAGAAATCACCCCCCAGGGGGGATGGCCACGCCTCAATCCCTTCTCCATTCTCCTCTCGGGATCTTGGGCACGCACGCACACGTGCCCCACATGACTTTAAGACACTGGGCCCAGGGCTTGAACTGCGGTTGACTACGTGGGAGTCCAGCGACATAGCCATTACACTAACCGCTGGTCCCTTCTTGTGATACTTCTTAAGATATGTCTTTGGACCAGCAGCTGGTGTAATGGCTATGTCGCTGGACTCCCACGTAGTCAACCGCAGTTCAAGCCCTGGGCCCAGTGTCTTAAAGTCATGTGGGGCACGTGTGCGTGCGTGCCCAAGATCCCGAGAGGAGAATGGAGAAGGGATTGAGGCGTGGCCATCCCCCCTGGGGGGTGATTTCTCGCTTTCTGTCTCTGTCTGTTTGGTGAGTGCACATGCCCTATAGCAAAAATCTCTCAAAAAAAAAAAAAAAAGATATGTCTTTATTTTTTAGAGGTTTTTGCCATAAAGTACATGCGCTTATAGGGGGTTGGTGAGAAATCAGCCCCCAGGGAGATGGCCACACTGCAACCCCTTCTCCTCCATTCTCCAGGGATCTTGGTCATGCACACATGCACCTGGCATAATTTTGAGACCACCCTGTCCAGGACTCGAATCATGGTCAGTTGTGGTTACCTGCTACACCATCCTCTTAACCTTCTGTCGGAACCAGTCCAGAAGCCCCTCCCAGGCCAAATGCATGTTCACCTGCTCCAGCCCTGACCCACGTGGTGAGTATGCAGAGGGCAAGGACAGCACTGGCCAGGCCACTTCCCCCCTGCTGGTCCCCAGGGAGGTCGAACTGGCTGCACTTCGACGGTAGTGGCCCACGGCTCTGGGCGGCTCCTTTTCCTTAGCCTGGCTGCCCCTCACCCAGCTGCAGAGTGCCATGTCCCTAGGACCACGTGAAGTGAACCCTCGCTCAGGAAGCCTCCTCCCACCTAGGTGTCCACCCTACCCTGGAAGCTGGGCTGCCATGTCTTCTGGAAGTCTCTAATTCCCCAGGAAGTCGCTCGCGTTACCATAGCTCGCACGGTGGTAACCACCTACATCCGCACAGGGCCCCAGGTAAAAGCCACTGCCCCCTGCACCTCCCTCGAACTACTGCCTTAAGTGCTGTCAGACACAAAGGAGGACACAGGACAGCCCCCGCCGACTCATTTACTCCGCAAGCCTCGCCCTGCCCTGACTTGCTTCGTCCGGGACCTCCAGGCCCCTAGGGGGCACAGTGTCCGCTAGCGGAGGCGTGCCATGACGTCCTGCCCCGGACCAGGCTGGGCACCCGGCGGGCCACCCCTGCTCTGGGTCAGCGGTCTCCACCAGGCGAGGTCTGAGCCATTGCGCGCGCTCCAGATCCGCCAGTGTCCCAGGACGCCGTGCTCGACGCTGGCGCCCTTGGCCCTGGCAATAGTCACTCAGCCACCCACAGACGGCATTAACGCCGCGCAACAGCGGCTCCGGAGAAGTTTGTCCCTCGGCGCCCTCCGGCACCGAGGCCGTTGCTAGGCGCCGACGCCCGCTTCTTCGCAGCTGATTGGGTCTCACTCAAAAAATGAGGCGTGGGCTTGCCGTGGCGCGCATGCGTGCGGCGCAGGATGGAGGAGTCGGAACCCGAGCGGAAGGTGGGAACGAGGCCGGGGTCCGCGCCGGGGCGCGGGGCGCGGGGCGCGGCCTGACTCGGTGTGTCCGCAGCGGGCTCGCACCGATGAGGCGACC